TTGCAATTTATAATTATTATATTTAGATGTATTTTTTTGAGATAGAAAATCATATTTTTTTTTATCATTTGTTGTTGCATTGCAATAATGCATGATGAAATATACAAAGTATTTTTAAATTCGTTATATCTATCACAAATTTGATAATAAATTTGTTATAAAAAAGTTTAATTTTTCAATACAGCAGCAATTACTATATTTTTTCATATCTATTTATACGTTTTGTTAAATTTATCAGAAATATATTTTGTTTAATTATATGTATATAACATGCGAGTTTAATTTTACTGCGATTAAATTGAATCGCGTATAATGATCGTAAATCAGCAAAAGATTATCAATCTTATTTCCGATCAAGTTTTATTAAGAAAAAGACTTTCTTGGAAATCAAGTAGTTGAGAATCTTTGTACTAATTTATACATATCACGCGATTTGCTTTGAGTCATACTCATGGCGTGACATGATTAACGGGGATTTCTACAGAACGGTATTCGAACGATCGATGTTCATGTCAAAATTGGAAGTGACATGAAGATTATGAGAACTTATTTTTCATAATATATAATTGGCCTGATCTATGATACGTCATTTCGTACAAATATAGTTCATTGTAATAATTTGTAAAGTTCCTATTTTAATTTGTTTGTTAATATTCTATATCTCTTTCTTTACATAATATTGCAAGGAGAAACGAGCAAGAAACAAATATACGCGAAGGGATAAATGTGGAATCATCGTTAAATCTCAAATAGCGAACAATTTATTTAAAAATTTACGCTGTAAGTTGATCTCATAATGATAGAATATACCGTAACTTTAAGCAATCACATAATTCGGACCGTTTAATAAAGTATTAAATTTCGGTGTGAGTGCAAAAAATACATTTATAACTATTTTTTATGAGTGTTCATTTTTTATGCGTAATTCGCGTATCATAAAAATTCACATATACTTTATATCATACGTAATAATCATGCACTTTTGACGCACGTAACATAAAAAAAGGATCTTGTTTTGCAAAATTCCAATACTAATAATTGACATAAAATTGTATATAATGACCGATTAATCTGTTTTTTTCCTATATTTTGCGCAGTTATTCTTTTTTCTATCTTTGCTTCGTATAATCTAGTATATTTAAACTGAATATTAATTTATATGTAAACGTCAGAGAATGTTCTCACAATTACTACGCAATACGTGTGTAATTTTCCATCTATTATATAATTTACTTTTTCTGTGAACGAACAAAGAACTGTCATTTTGAATCAAATAATAATGTATTGTAATTATACATAATGTGCACATTATTTAGTTTAAAATTATATATATATTTTTTTTTATTTAGCACGGTAGAGACAGTAATTATTAAACGTTCACACACACATTATGAGTTGATATCGGTTGGAAATTAAATCACAATAAGTTCTAGTTTCATGAAAACAAATTAATTACTCATAAATGTATGTGATGAGAAATTCACTTTTAAGATTAAATTTCTGAAAGATAATCTCTGTGTTCGTTACTTCACTTCATAATTTTAAGAAAAAAATAATGATAATAATAGTAAATTATCCTTAAATTAAGATAATTATTTTAATAAAATACTTTATCATATATAAAATACTCTAATTATAATAGAATATTTCAAAAAGACTTTTACTTACTACATAAAGTTATTAGCAATATAACTTTAGAATAATGTGAAAGATTATATGCAATGACAGATATAGCATGTTTTTGCAAAGATACATATGTTTAATTGGTAATCGCAAGAAAAAATAACCAACTAATCTTCGACGAGAATGCTTCTTGACAAGTATTCTGGTCATCGCAGATAATTCGAGTAAGAAATAACAATGATAAATTACATATCTAAATTGATGAAACAAGCGCGGGCACGTCAATAATACTTTTAAATAAATTATACGAATTAATGTGTCATCGTTATGAAACCCGGAAGCAACTTATGGCATCTTACAAGTATTAATTCCATAGTGAAATTACTTTTTGATCGTGTCGAGACCGTTTGCAGATCCGCCGTCTTCGCTACGTGTGACTCCCGCAGTTCTTTCCTCGCATTCCAGATTTTTTCAATGCACCATTGTTTTAATGACTTTGCAACATTCCTTATTTCCATAGCTATTATACCTGAAAAAAGATTTTGAATTTATTTAATGTCTTTTTTAGGCATCTTTATTTTAGATGTAGAAATAATAAAAATTTAATGTCTATTCAAAGAAACATTTAGATCTTACATTATCTAAAAACATATACACAAGCCAAATACTTATGCAATTCAAATATATTATTGAATCGTCTCTAATGGTTGCATAAATTTAAATATATATATATTTATTTATTTATAAAATTGAATGTTTTTTTATAAATTGACGTTACTTACGGAATACTATCCTAATATAATTCAACATTTTCTAACAGTCGCGCGAATACACTATGTTACACACAATCGAATCGCGAATGTCGAATATTTGGAATTCGAAGTCGTGAATCGGCAAAGTAGATGTAATAGAGTGCAGATTCTCGACTTCTCCGTCGATATCTGCTTGCTCACTGAATGCAGCCGTTGCCCCTTGATCGTTTTTCATAGCCGCTCTACGAAATCTCGGGGCGATAACAACACTCAGACAATCTCTACTGTTAAACAAGGACCAAAATGTGAAACGCTACGTTTTTTTCATATCTATTATTTGTTTATATACGATATTTATCATTATCTATTATATTTTATTATTTATTTATTGTACACAAATGTAAAAGACGGTAGATTAACATTTAAAAAATTTCACATTTAAAAACATTTTTCTTATCAACAGAATCTGGAAAATATCTTTTAATCTTTGCAACATATATTTTTTACAGGTTTAAAAGTTATAACAAAATTTTTATTTTTATATAATTAATATACTACCAATTATTAAAAAAAAATATAAATAAATAAAATTTTATTTGATAAATTGTTAAAATATTAATACCACACATATTATATTTTTTTATATTAACCGTTTTTCATTGCTGCAATGTTATTAATACTACTAACGGCATAAGCGAGATTTAATATCAAAGACGGAAATGTGGTTTTATATCAAGCTACATGATCTTCGAAGTCATGTTATACGCAATATATCATTATAAACTAATTGATATTGATGCAATTTGTCGTTGGTGATCTTCATATGTATAACATGCGTTCAAAGTGTGCAGAGCTCAGAAAAAAATCAAATAAAGTTGTTTTACTCTTTTAAATGAAATCAGTATATTATTGATTAATAATAGTTTTACTTATAAGTATAGCATTGCAAATAGTAAAATCTCACTTACAATTACAGAAAAATCAGTGGCGGTAGCTAATTTCTCAATAAAATCTTACTGCCATAATCAATGAAAGATAGAACGGAGGAACAAAGTGAGTGTTTTCATTGAAGATTAGTAAAATATTCATTGTTCTTTAGTGAAATTTTGTCACTGCTTTAATCCGACATTAATATCGATTTAATTCAAGAGAGTACGATTATACTTCTGATAACATCGCGCGTTGACCTCTCTATCGCATGAAAGCGTATCTATTAAATATTACAGTTTTAGATCAAGCTTAAAGACGTTTCTCGTCATACGTGACCTGTATCATGTAGAAAGCATCGATGTAATCGCCATGTTTTCCATTTGAATAAGATATTATTAAACGTTAGATTGTAAGATGAAAAAAAAATCAGATCATAAAAAAGCTTTAAAGGAATGATAGTATTATTCTAAATCTGTGTATAGATAGATTCTTCCTTAATCGTCTTTTATAATTAATTTAAATTAACTCGAGAGTTCAATAAATAAGACAAATATGAAATTTGTCAACATCCATGTTATTCATCTTATCGTATATTATAAATGCGTATTGCAACGATTTATAACAAATTTTACATTTATTTGTATTTGTGTAAAATATTGATCAGTTTCTTTATTCTTCAACCACTTCTGGACCATTCTTATTTAATTATTAATAGCTCACACATATTGGTTTTACTAATTTTTATTAATATTTACAATAATATTCTTTTTTAACCATCTTCTTCCTTATTTAATCAGCGTCATTTCTGAAAAAATTTATTGTGAATTAATTTCTAAGATGCTTGATGAAATATTTATTATAAAATCAATGTATAATTACTTTTTATCACATATACCCTTGACTTTTTTAAACTGTTTATGTGTGAGAATGTTCTTTCTTGGACCCAACATGGATTGATTGCGAGAATATTTCTTGTGTTTAATATTTCACATATGATAATGTTGCAAATTGCAAGATAATGAAAGAATTATTGTTAATTAATTATTTTCTTTGTAAATTCGCCAATTAATTTTACCAGGAAATTGCAGTATCCATTTCTTTCTTTGCGTGATTTTTGTAGGAACCATGATGATTTATTTATCTTTATGTTTTATCTCTCTCTTTCTTTTGCATTTTATATGAGGTTTTTATAAAACAATAATTATTATAAAAAATAGCGCATAATTATATTAATTAGTCATAAAATTGTTATTGTATATGTTTTCAATAAGCACTTTTTTCGCGACTTTATTAACTAGTGAACAATGTTAAATAGATATATTACATCATTCTAAAAATGCTTTTATATCTATATATGAATAATATTTTATAATATTTTTCAAACTTCTACTTTTAATAGAGAAGAGTCATGTTGTATATATAAAAGAATTTCTTTGAGTAAGGTCCAAAAAAGTAAAAAGAGATTAGGTATAGACAAGCTTACGTTTGGTAATATCAATTTTAGACTTGTCCTGAAAGGCATGACGTTGACGTTGATTAATAATCCATTCTCTCTCGGATAACGAAGGTTGGATTCTCTTTAATAGTATTTCGACTAACGAAGCCTTTCTCGACGATTGTATTGTTGAGCGTTGAATCCCTTCGCTTTTTGGCTTCTTTGAATCGTGAGAATCATTTTTCAAAAAACTATTATTCGTTTGATCGCTATATTCGCTATTTCCGTCGCTAGCATCATCCATATTATTCTGATGTCTTTGAAATTCCTTGCATTTTTTTTTCCTTTTTTTTTCTTCCGTTCTTTCTTCCATAATTCATATGATAAATATTTTGGATTACGAATCACACATTTCTGAATTTATGTATCAAATATCGTAATTAAATTTTGTTCCATAATACAGAAATTCAGTTTAAGTTTCATAATGTATTTATTAAACTTTTGATAAATAATCTTTCTAATGAATTATATGCGTGCATGCATAGCATATTAATAAACAAGGTAAACTGATGATATAAATTGACAATTTTTATACATTTTTTTTATAAACTTTATTCACTTTTTGCTATTAAATTTGACTTTAATGTAAGTTATTACGTTATCTTTTTATCCATAATATATTGTCTGCAAATAAATATGTTATCTTACACGTATTGAATGGCAAATATGCCTTTTTCAAATGTTAGCCAAACATTATTCAATGTACATATGTATTTTATTATTATATATTCTGATTGCAAACAGTCATATATTTTTATATCGAATTGTTTTATTGATAAATTCGCTTGCATTAATTCAGCAAATAATGTCTCAAAATTTTATAAATTTTATTGTGCATTTCGTCAGTTTTGTACATGTATGCATAAAAACTTTATCAGCAATGTAAACACGGTAAGCTATTGATTATGACCAATTTAACATGTTTGTTTTTATGTTATTTGTGACTTTACCGTGTTAGGTTATCTCCTAATATGATTATTTGAAACTTTCCTCGTTAAATAAAAGTGTTATTAAACGATACCAATAAAAATGTCAAAATAATAATATTTTCTTTAAAAATTTATTATTGAAAAATATATAACATAAAAGATGGATCCGAGTCGCGAGGAAAAGGTAGCTCTCGATCTAGAAAGTAGAAAGACACAATTATTCCGGGAAAAGATGAGAAAGCTTGCCGAATGCGATAAGGTAGTTTCGGCCGAAACTGTCAATGCTATTGGAGAAGTCACGAAAGATATTGAAATGATCGATGAAAACGTGCCGAGCAGCGACGAGTTTGACGAGGAATTGGAGGAAGAATATCGTAACCTGAACGATATTTTCGATTTACCGCATGACACTTACTCCCTTACCGAAATTAGGCCGGAGTTACCACTTTGTGTCAAGTATGGCATTCGTTCTGGCGTAACTCATCTAAATATGCCGCAATTCTCGCCGTTATCCAGAGGTTATCAGGTAATCATGTTTATCGTGGAAGTCTCGATGATGAAGACTTTATTTCAAGAATATCTCTCTCTCTTTTTTAATGTTTTTCTATTTTAAAACAGTAGCTCCCGAATTGTGTTTTATTTGCAGAATTCTTTTATACTAATTCTCTATATGCGCTTTTAAGCATGAATTAATTAATTACATATATATATATATAATTAAAATATTTTTTTTTAAATATATTATTAAACATTGCCTTTTGTAGCTTCTCATTTCGCAGCTCTAATAACAGGGTGGCGCTATAGCGATTGCAGCTTTTGCCACGACCGCGATTCACAAACCACGCTATTGGAACGAGGCGGTGATCGACCAGATCGTCGAAGACGGCGACACTTTTTACTGCGAGTCCTACAAGAATGTGAACACCGGCGATCGTCGGACAATGACCATCCTCGACTTGAAGAGGAATCTTCTCATCCAGAAAAAGTTCAATATAAGAATCATGATCGAGGATCCGGCCTACGCGGGGAAATTTCGTTCGCGCGATCCGACAGAGCTTCATTTGGCGAAGGCGTTGGAGTTATTTTTCAAGAGACACGATGCTGGGATTCTGACGTCACCGGTACTCAATATAGCTATATGGCGAGACTCGAAGTATTACAATGTATTTGATGGTCAAGCACGACGAGATAATGGTGAACCGGTTGCCGATGAAGTCAACGGTTCAGCCAAACTGTTTCTCGTGAAGGATTTGATGGGGGTGTTATTCATTATCCTCGAAAAGAGCAACGTGCGAAACGAACCTTTTGTGATCTATGCCGTAACTGTCGTAGCAATCGAACCGATCTCTCCGGACGATCCCGCAGAAGTCGAGAAGACGTATGGGAAACTGCAGAGGAGACCGAGCGGTTACAAAATTCGCCAGAAGCATCGAGCTGTGGTGCAAGGATCTTATCATCTCACGCATCCAGCCATACCGAGAGCTCTGCGAAATAAAGGACACCTGATTATAGCCGTGGCGGCGCTAATATACTCGCGGCTAATTAACTCAAATAAGTGGACGACCGCTTTGCTCAACTTGATTATCAATCAATCCAATATTTATCTAGTTGATCTAGTCAGGATCCTTGAGAAAAAGCTCGACGATGACTTTGAGCTCCGGTTGGAGGATTTGATGAGCGACTTTATTCTCGGAGTGTATTCCGCTAAGATAAAGGTAGACGCGAATGTAATACCGGATCGCGCGCAAAAAGACAAGATTGCTATTAACAGCGGTATACGCGAATTCTTCGAGACACGGGAGGTCGGGATACTCGAAATTAAGAAGATCTTCTACGCGATCTGGAAAGAGGGCGATGTGTATTATTTTCTCGATCCGTTCGAATGCGACGACGAAGGTTTTAGGATCTATCACGATGACAGAGAATATACGACGGGTGATACATTCGGAGGCGCTGCCTGTGTTACCATGAATAGCACCGTAAACGAGATAGTGGAAACAGTATTGGAGAATACCGGTAATAAGGACAAGGATCCTTTCCTGATACATGGGGTAACAGTGCTGTACGTAAAGACTGGAGTAGCACCGGACGGACCACTCGAGAGAGTAATTTATCGAGAGAGAGGTACAAACCGTAGACCGCGGGCTCCGTCACCACCGGCACCTACGGATACGATAGAAAAAGTGATCGACACAACGCCCCGCGTACGACCGGAATCATCTAAATCCATAGAAATGTCTAATCAATTTCCGGAAAATATGCAACACGTGGACCAATATACAATTGCGGATGACGAGCCAATAACTTTCGTACTCGCGCAAGAGAAAAAAAAGAAAGTAGATGAAGAAGAAGAGGACGTAGAAGAGGAAGAAGAAGAAGAGGAAGAAGAGAAGAAAGAAGAGAATATGGAAGGAGCAGAAGAAGAGGAGGACAAAGAGATAAAGAAAGAAGACGTCGAAGAAGTAGAAACAGCCGAGGAAATACGAAAAGAACCTTCGCTAAAATTTATTACGGGATATAGAATGATAAATGTTCATCGTCTGCTACTTTGCGGTACCAAAAATTGTCTGAGCGAAAGCTTCCGTCCGCAATCACGTGGCAGGCAAGGATTAATAGCCGCTTTGACTGCTTTGGCGTACAGAAGATTGAAAGATCCGACTCGCTGGCGAAATATAGACGTGGATCAAATTGTTGACGTCAGCAACAAAGCTTATGAGCAAGTCATAACATGGATCGAACAAGGCCGACCGGAGATAAAAGAAGCTACAGGAGTGAAAGAAGAGTTAGAAGAAGAGGAAGAAGAAGAGGAAGAAGAAGAGGAGGTCGAAGAAGAGGAAGAAGAAGAGGAAGAAGAGGAAGAGGAAGAAGTCATTCGGAAAGTAGCACGTGCTCCGAGTCATTTGGATATCTCTTTCTTACCGCCTAGATTAAAACTAGCTGAGTACGACGCTATTTTCAAGACGAAGACAAACGTTGTGGACGGCGACGCAAATCCGTTGGCAAATCTCGCAGAGGCACTCGAGCGTTATTTTGAACGATATCCTGAAGCAGTGTTGGAAAATAAGAGATTGATGTACGCTATTTGGAAAGAGGATGGAAAATTCTTTCTATTTAATCCTTACGGCAGCGATTCGGAGGGATGGCGTCTTCGAGATCACCCGGCCTCCTTTGTTGTAACGGACAGTCTCAACGAGCTGATCGATCTTCTTCACGGTGTTTTGGAATACAACGATCCATTATTCTCGCTTCATTTCGTAGCTCTGGACGCGATACAACCAGGAAAATATACGTCACCCGTGGAAATCATAATCCCGGACGAACAGACGATCGACAAGTTTCGTACAAAATTTCTACCAATCACAGATGAAGATCTATTGAAGCTTGAGGAAATCAAACCAGATATCGCTGTCGTAGAAGCGTTAGAAACACCTGAAGATGAAGAAGAAGAAGAGGAAGAAGAGGAGATAGAGGAAGAGGAAGAAGAGGAAGAAGAAGAGGAAGAAGAGGAAGAAGAAGAGGGAGAAGAGGAAGAGGAAGAACTAGAAGTGCTGGAGAAACCTCTTATAGATCCCTTGCTGGAAGTCGAAGAATTCGCGCAGCCTGATGCACCTTATCGTCTAAATCTGGCACTCCTGACCTCCATAGTAAAAATTCAAAAACCGTTCGAAGAAGAGCTCAACGGCCTGCACGAAGAAGTAATAATGGAGAAAATGAAGTACGATCATCCGCCGCCGTACGTGATGCCGCCGCGAAAGACGCTTTGTGTTTTGCTGGAAGCGAAACGGGCAAACAGATCGATTCCTTCTCTCGTATCGAGATTCTCGATTGATTCGAGACTCGAGGTCAAGAAAAAAAATGATTTCCCCACCGATTACGTGGCACCTGCATCAGCTGCGATTGTATCGCTGCCTCAAGACATGAAACCCTCTAAAATGATCAAGCTATCTTTCGGGAAGTACTTGTACTCAAGATTACCGCCGATTCATATAATGCCTCTTAGAGCAATTGACGAGAGTTACATCCAGAACGAGAACGTCGATAATGCACTTGATGAAAAATATCTTGAACGAGAGAAGTTGGAGGAGAAAAAGGAAGACATGGCGTTAGCAAAATTAAGAACGGTATCTTGTCGTGCAAAATCGGAACTGATACCGCTCGGACCGATAATTAAAACCCCAGTTTTAATAATAAAGCAACTGACATGTCCCGATGAGCAACATCGGAAAAGCGTATCGAAGACTGAAAAAGAAAGGCTTATTATCAAAAGAAATCTGTGCGATGCGGAAAAGCTTATATTCAAATTGATATTTCCTAATTTTAATCCTGATTTACAGGTGAGTGTATTCTATGGTCTATTAGATTTTCTATGGTCTCTATTTTTTATCTTCTCTAATATATTTTTTATGCATTTTTTATAATGTTTCTATTATCTGACTACTATCCAATAAAATCGAGATCAAAAGGATTGAAATTGATTTAATGAATAAATATATTGAAACTAAAACCAACATATTGATGATTGCACATAATACTACAAAAAAGAAATTTAGATTGTTTAAAACGTAATATTTTAAATTAGTTTAAATAATTAATAAAATAATTTAAATATCAAATATTAGATTGGTATCAATTTATATTTTCAACATATATTTTTGTATGCGTGTTTTTTATATAATTATGAAAAAGATTGCTAAACTATCAAATATTCTTTAATTTATGGAAATTATTACTTCTCATATATAAATAATTTTCTATAAAAGCTCTTTTTAATAAAAATTTATCTACATTTAGTCACCAGAAAAGAAAGATGATGATAGAAAGATGGACGACATAAAAAAGACGATAATTAGCGTGAAAGATGAGAAAGTAGATCAATCATCGCCTGAAGCTGTTGGCTTCAAAGTAATTTTATTAGACATATATTATTATGTAACGGGAGGATATTAGAAATATATATATTCTTTTATATATATATTTTATTATT